AAAAAGAGATGTATGCTGTGGTATATGGCTTAGAAAAGTTTAAAATGTACTTACTGGGAGTCAAAGTAACAATTTACACTGACCATGCTGCCTTTAAATACTTAGTGAGTAAGAAAGATTCTAGGCAGAGGTTGTTAAGATGGGTGCTCTTACTGGAGGAGTTTACTTATGAAATAAAAGATAGGGCAGGACGGTTAAACCAAGTGGCTGACCACTTAAGTAGGATAAAACATGATAAAGAGAACTTAAATCCATTCACCGGGACCTTCCCTGATGAAAATCTGTTCTTTGCCTCATTTGTTCCTTGGTTTTCTGACTTGGTCAACTACATAGTAACCCACACATTCCCACCCGGCATGCCTAGGCACTTAAGAGATCAAATTCAATCCCAAGCTAGGTTTTATATTTGGGACGACCCGTATTTGTGGAAGATGTGTTCTGACCAGATTATTAGGAGGTGCGTGGGGGATTGTGAAATTACTTCCATATTAAGTTTTTGCCATACATTAGAGAGTGGTGGTCATTTCGGACCTAGAAAAACTGCTCATAAGGTGCTAGAAGCTGTTTTTTTTGGCCTACTATTTATAAAGATGCTTATGAATTCTGCAAAAATTGTTCAAGATGTCAAAAAACTGGAAATCTGTCTAGTAGGTCTCAAATGCCTTTGAATAATATCTATGTCTGTGAATTGTTTGATGTTTGGGGAGTGGATTTCATGGGGCCTTTTCCTTCTTCTTTTGGCTTCAATTACATATTGCTTTTTGTGGACTATCTTTCAAAATGGGTTGAAGCTGTTCCTACAAAGTTTGATAATGCTAAGACAGTAGCTAAACATGTCCAATCTCTAATCATAAATAGGTATGGAGTGCCTAAATTTTTTATAAGTAATAGAGGAACACACTTTTGCAATAAAACCTTGGAGATACTGTTTTCAAAATACCATATTACCCAAAGGATTTCCACAACTTATCACCCTCAAACTAATGGTCAATCCGAAATATCTAATAGGGAAATTAAGCACATTTTGGAAAAAGTCGTTAAACCTGATAGGAAGGATTGGAGTTTAAGGTTAGATGAGGCTTTGTGGGCATATAGGACAGCTTATAAAACACCAATTGGGATGTCACCTTATAGGTTGCTTTTTGGAAAAGCTTGTCATTTACCAGTTGAAATTGAACATAGGTCTTATTGGGCTGTTAGGGAAGTTAATTTAGACTATGATGCAGCTGGAAAAGAGAGAAAACTGCAACTTTCAGAGTTAGAAGAAATAAGACTTGAAGCTTATGACAACTCTGTAATTTATAAGGGTAAAGCTAAGGCCTTTCACGATGCAAAACTCAATAGGAAACACTTTGACGTAGGTGATAAAGTGCTGTTATATAACTCTAAATTGCATTTGTTTCCTGGAAAGTTAAGGTCGAGATGGCTTGGACCCTTTGAAGTGTTAGAAACCTCTCCTCATGGGGCTGTGGTAATTAGAGATTTCAATACTAATAAGATTTTTAAAGTTAATGGGCAGCGATTGAAGGTGTATCACCAAGGTGAACAGGTTGCTAAGGTCGAGGACATCTTCCTCGAGGAGCCATGAAATGAGGCAGTAAAGTCTAGCCGGGACTACTAAACAGGGCAGCTTTCTGGGAGGCAACCCAGCACAAAAACAAAAAAAACAGGCATTTTAGTTACATTTAAGTTTTCTTTTATATTCAGTTTTTTTTCTTTTATTTTCCTTACACTCTTTGCATTTAGCTTAGGATCATTTTTAAGCTTTCATTCATTCAATTAGCATAACATGCCCTGAGGATAGTGCATAGCCTAAGTGTGGGGGTATGCAGCTGTTTCTTAGCACTTGGATCCATGAAAAATCTGAACTTTAATTTGAAAAAAAAACACTGATTTGTTTTTAAACAAGCTGCAGTTGATTTCATTCTAAATGATAAGGAAGGGTAGAGCTTTATAAGAACATATTTGGCACCAGGAGTTGTAAATCTGATTTTCAGACCTTAAAGAAAACACTTCTGCATCTTTAACTTTCCTTATACCTGGCCTTGCACAGCTGCATTTTTGTTGTTTCTGAAAAAAAACTGCAGTTTCTTTTTTGAAGAAAAAAATACAGATTTGCAGCTTTTGAAAAAAAACAGATTTTTTAAAAGAAAGAACAGAATTTTTGGACTCTTCATACCTGACCACTTTTAAAATAAGGTGTTTGCACCATTTAAGAGGAACAAAACTGGATCAGGAGAGGGAATCGTGTGAAGATTGAAATTTTTTTGTACTTTCTGGAGCTACCTAGTTTATGTTAATGTTTCTTATTGGCTTGAAATTTTAGGAGTTTTAATTAAGTTTCTCACAACAATAGTCTAAGTTCTTAACTTAGAAGAATTTGTTTAACCATCCAATTATATTAGTTGTTCAATCTTTAATTGTTTAATCAAGTAGAATGCTCCTTATTTATTAATAATTTTCCTCTCCTGATTAGTAATATAATCAACCTTTAGTCTAGGTAACATTCATGCACTATACTCTCAAAAGGATCTGCCTTCTATCTTCTATCCATCTTCTTATCTCTCCATGCTAAGTTTCTGAGTAAAATCTTAAGGATGATAACATTTAGCTAGAACTGGTAAAGTAGTTCTTCTAGAGGTTCTGTCTTTGAGAGGTTTTTGATTGATTTAGTTGAGGTCTGATACATCAATGATAGCCAAGGTTGAACATGGACTTGTCTCCGTGCTAGCTTGTTATGCATGCACTACCATTGGGGGGGGCCTAGTATTGCATCATTAAACAACACCGGTGGATACGCAAGCTCGTGCATGTATAGCTTGGTAGCACATTTGCCAAAAAAAAAAAAGAACTTCATCGAACAATTATGATCTGGCCTGGGGACATTTAGCCGCATTTGCTTGTGCAACGAAGCATGCCTTAATGTAGGATTTAGCCTAGTTGTGCACCATGTTTGGCCAAACAACGCTTGAGTAAGTAAGTGATGACTTCCTAAATTGATCACGAATTCCTTTTCTTTTTCTTTTTACTAGCTACTCTACCTTACTCTAGCTGATTTTTTCATCCTTAAGGGACTTATTCAAAGACACTTCTTTTTCTTTTCTTTAAGACCTTGAAAGAATAGTTTCATTGAATGTCATTTAGAATTAATCATTGATTATGCTTCTGATTTGGGAAAGGAATGTTTTTAAACATGGAGCAATCTAAGTGATTTAACAAGTTTTGCTTGAATAAGTCTTCTAATTGAATGTTTGAACAAATTTCTCTAAGTTAATGGTTGGGCTATTCTTGTTAGAAATTTAAGGAAGATTCTGTGTCAAGTTGAGCCAATATTAAGTTTTGACACAGTCATACACCTCCAGCAAGTTCAGTTTTGAGAAGTAAAAGTATAAGAATCTGTCTGTTTTGTCTACTTTGCACGAGGGCGTGCAAGAAGCTAAGTGTGGGGGTATTTGTTGAGTCCAAAATATTCACTAATTATTCTCTACCAAATCAGTATTTTTGGGCATTAAAAAGTGCATTTTTACACTTAAATGATCATATTTGCATTCTAGGCATCATTTATAAAATATGTTCATAATGCACACTTTTCAATTTATTTTTGAATATTATTGTTGTGGACCCAAATTCTCCTTGACAAAGGTTATAAGATATATCTTTGGAGCATGAAGTGTGGGATGAAAATGTGAAAGCAATCCAGTTGGGCTCTACCCCGACTTATGGTTTCAAAGGAAATCCAGGACCAAGATGACAAAGCCCAAAGGTCCACCTCAGAAGTTGAGAGAAGCTGCGTAAAAAAAGAGAAAAAGAGAGAGATACGTGAGATAGAAGAGCCGAAGACTCCCTCTCCTACATTGGGTTGGCTTCTTCAAGCATAGCTGGAGCCGGAGAATCCGCAGCAAGAATTGCAGCGCACAAGGAAGTCCTAATCGAAGACGGAAGAGACGAAGAACACCTATAAATTGAGGGAGGCGCTGCGAATAACATCACCACCACATATCGAGAGCAAGAACTCGAGCTCAACGCATAGGGTAATAACCCCAGGGGGGGTTCGGATCTTGCATCTGAAACCCTTCCCTTTCTCTGTTTTTTTTCTTCTGTTTTGTCAAAGTAGAATTTGTTTTGTATTCTTAATCCCCTTGTTCCCTTCTCAAATTTGTGTTGTTTTGTTTCCTTCAGTTATATGGAACATATTTCCAATTGATTTTTTTCTTAGTTCTGAACCTGTGATGGCTATTTAAAACCAAAGTTTGTTTTCAATTTAATAAGGGTTTATGCGTTTACTGCCTTGTACTGGCAATGGATAAGCATTATTGATTTTTCATGATGTAACTTTCTAAACATGTTTGGTTACAATACTGTCCAAGTTCCGGAACAAGTTTGTGTTTTAGAAGCATTCTTTGAGAGTGTTCTTTGTGTTTTTATGTCATCTAAGGTCTGATTTCGTAAAAAATAACATATGAAACCAGAATTTTTGGAAGAAGTATTGAATCTTGTTGCTTAAAATTGAACCTGTCTATGGGTTTAAATTTTTACAACAAGATTTATAATCTGAAAATAATTCAAGCTTTTGCTACTTTTAAATTAATTCAAAGGTGTTTGAGAACTACTTTTCAATTGATTTTACTTAAGTTGGGTCAAATTAGGATCGCGACCTAATCCAATTTAAAATGATATTCTTTTAAAGTCCAAAGTGCTTTAAATAGCCAAACTTTTCTAGAAACCAAGTGTCACTTGATTAACCTAGGCCGCCTCGTTAAGTGGTTTTTACTAATCAAGGTTGTCAAACTGATTTTGTTAAATAACCTTTGTGTTACTGCAAGATTGTTACGGTGATGTTTTCCACAAATCTTAATGCACGATTCTTAGTAGTAATCTAAGGGTTGGTCTTTGGGTTGCTAAGGGTAGTAGGGTTTAGAGTTAGGGTTGGTCCTAACATGAGCTTTTATGAATGGGAAAATAGGAAAGAACCGTTGGTGGACCTCTTTTTCAGCTGGACCCTTGTTTTAATTTATAGCTGGTTGATGATTATGCTAGTTTTCAACAAAGTTTTGATCCTGGATATTTATTTTCTATATTATAAAACATTTTTGTTGGTTTTCTAAAATTGTTTAAGTCTCTAAATTATTGTGTTATGTGTGCTTGTCTTCTTCGTTTGGGTTTTTTGGTGGAGTTATGTTCTGTTTTTATCCTTGGTTTGTTTTGAGTTTTGTTCTGGTGTGGTGTGTCACTTTAGTTAGTTTTTACTTTATTTAGAAAACAATTTTCAAACCCCCCCATCTTTTAATTTAGTTTATAGATTTTAGATAGTTGTTTCACTCAATAAAAAGTGACAAAGTAAACCGATTTTCATAGCCTAAAAAATATCTTTCCTCGTGGGATCGACTCTTACTTATCTTATCTATAGATTTAATAAATATTATTTTTACAAGAAGGAACTAAGTAAAGGAAAAGAATAAATTAATTTGTAGGTGCTACGACACGCCTAACAGTTTATCATGAAGGTGGAAGGAGTGCACTTGCCATGGTTCTCGGACATTATAAACTATCTTGTTACAGGAATTGAACCACAGGAGCTCTCATCTTACCAAAAATCAAAGTTCTTACGAGATGTGAAGAAATATTATTAGGATGATCCCTATCTATTCCGTCAATGTGCCGATGGGATTATTCGAAGGTGCGTTCCAGATGAAGAGATGATGTCTATTCTCAGTCATTGTCATACTCTACCTTGCGGAGGACATCATGGAGCCAACAAAACTGCTGCAAAAATTTTGCAATGCGGTTTTTATTGGCCTACCATATTCAAGGATGCTAGGAGCTTTGTGCTAGCTTGTGACCGGTGCCAACGCATGGGTAATATCTCTCGCCGAAATGAAATGCCTCAGAACATGATTCTTGTTGTTGATATATTTGATGTTTGGGGGCTAGACTTCATGGGTCCCTTCCCAAATTCATTTGGGAAAACCTTTATTCTTGTGGCGGTGGACTATGTCTCAAAATGGGTTGAAGCTGTCGCCTTGTCCGACAATAACGCCGCTTCAGTGGTGAAATTTGTGAAGCATAATATTTTTTCCCGTTTTGGCGTACCTTGGAGCATAATAAGTGATAATGGCACCCATTTCAAGAGCTCACTATTCAAGAGTCTTTTGCACAAATATGGGTGCACTTTCAAGACTGGAGCCACTTACCACCCTCAAACGAATGGGCAAGTGGAGGTTTCGAACCGAGAAATCAAAGCGATTCTTGAGAAGACAGTGAATACCTCGAGAAAGGATTGGTCCCTCAAGCTTGATGATGCTCTATGGGCATACTGAACGACATACCAAACGCCGATTGGAATGTTTCCATACCGCCTAGTCTTCGGGAAAGCATGTCATCTTCTGGTCGAAATTGAACACAAGGCTTTGTGGGCGATCAAAAGGCTGAGTTTCGATAAAAAACTTACAGGAGAAAGAAGACTACTCCACATGAATGAGCTTGAAGAATTAAGGCGAGATGCATACGAGAATTCTCGTATCTATAAGGAGAAGGCCAAGGCATGGCATGAGAAGCAAATCATCCGACAGGAGTTTTATATTGGTCAAAAAGTGCTGCTTTTCAATTCTAGGCTCAAACTATTTCTGGGAAAACTCAAATCGCGGTGGTCGGGACCATTCACCGTGACGGAAGTCACACCTTATGGAGCCGTAAAAATCCAAAAGGAGGATCAACCACCTTTTCTTGTGAATGGACAACGCTTGAAGCCGTATCTTATGCACGAGTTCACCAAGGGAACATGCTCATCTAATCTCACAGACTAAAAGATAGTATTGTCCGGCCTATGACGTTAAACTAAGCGCTAATTGGGAGGTAATCCAACATCCTTTCAATTTCATCGGTTTTTATTGTTTTTCTTTATGTGCCTTAGGTGTTTGTAGTATATCATGTTGGTAGGATTGCTTAGATGTCAATGTATTTAAACTTTTTAGCAAACCCAGACTTTAATCCGGCGCAGTGTATTCTTGCCCTTCACCGTTTTACGTCCTAGTAGGCCTCAATAAGCAACCCAGACACTAATCCGGCGCAGGGCACCATTGACCTTCGCCGGTTTAGTGTCACGTTAGTCTATAATCCCTACTGAGCTTCAATCCAGCGAAGGGCACCATTGCCCTTTGCCGATTTCTGTGTTTTTAATATCCATCTCCGTTTTCCTCTATGCGTTGCCTTCTTTCTCTTCTCGCCGTTTTCGTTCGTCTCTCTCGCTCATCTTCCTCCTGACCTCCTCGCCGAGGTAAGTCTCTCTCTCCTTCTTCCTTTTTCTTCCCCCTTCTTCTTTCCTCCCTTTCTCTTCCCCTTCTTCTTCTCTCCTTCTTCCATTTTCTTCCCCCCCACTTCCTCCTTCTCCGCCCCCTCCAATTTCGAACCCTTTTTTTAAAATTTTCTTTCAATTTCTTGTTCTTATGTGCTTGCAAGAAAATTTAGTTGTTAATTGTTGTTTATTAATGCATGTTGATTACCAATTTCATGTTTTTGAGCCCCAATTTGTTGAATTTGAAAATCTCAAAAACCCTAGCCCCATTTCCCCTTTGTGCAAAAATTTGACTCCCCTTGATTGAATTGTTCATTTTTTTATCAAGAGGTTGAATATTGGGGTTGTGATTACTATATTTACCAATCATCTTTGTGGTTTTCATCAATTTACAGGGAGGGCATGCCAAATTTTTCTAGAAATTATAGGGGTTCCATTCGATCCAAACTAATTTCAAGAACATCTCTTGCAAGGGCTATGGCACCCCGAAAGTGTCTCAAGGATGACTCCTCTTCTAGCCAACCCGCACGTTTCACAAAGAAAGCCCATGAGAGTTGGTATGAGCTACGAAAAGAAAAGAACCTAGTCGTGGAGAAGACTGTTGTAACACCCCAACCCGCATAACCCGAATACAAGGACCCACGAGTCGGGTTGTTACCAATTTTGTATTCAAACGCAATAATTTTTCCAATCCATTTAAAACATTTAAATCAAATAGTATTTTATTATCCATCAGAGTAAATCCAAACGGTTGCAGAAGCTAAATTCATAATCCAAAACACAACTTGGGAATCATGCCCGAAATAGTAATAAGTTAATTTAAGTAATAAATAAGAGTTCAAAATCGTCGAACACCGCCACGCACATCTCAGCCTCCTCATCGCCCTCCGGGATTGGTTCCAAGCTCATCATTTCCTGGATTACCTACGTGTAGCAAACAGGAAAAAGGGCTACACGCTCAGCATTGAAGCTAAGTGAGATATATCTAACATACAGCTATACCCATAGGTGATCCCACTAGCCCGTATCATCATACGATATCATGCACACAAAATGCTCATCATACTTACGCAACATACAGCATATAACAGTTGTAATAAACATCAACCTTAAAGAATTACAAATCACAAGGATACAATGTAACTTCTCCATTTTCCTCTGCCCTATGTTCTTTCGGTACTCGGCTCTTAACCTAGACTAGGTAAAAGCTCAACTGAATTCAACTTGCCTATGGAGTCATGACCTTCCCCTTCGGAACGAAGGTCAAGCTCAAACCAACTCGGGAGTTCCTCGTTGGGTGGGTGAGATCCCTGTCCCCTTCGGAACGACAGTTCTTAGATCCCCGTGTACACGTTTTTACCCGGACAGCCATTGGACCCAGCAGGTACCACATGACTCTAACTTACAAACTTATGACATGCCTTGCCATTATTTTTCCTTCTGGTCAGATCCTAGGTTTGTTCTAGGTATTTCATGCCTTAACCGTCATTAGTTTACAGCATACATGTTCATACATCTTACACATATTTCATCACATCCAATACACTCAATTAGCAGCCTAACACTGGGTATCGCTACCCTCGTTTACAGTCATGCAACACACAAGGTCTCGGAATCAATCCTCGACGCAAAGAACAAAACGCAGACCGGTTCAGGCCCCTTGGCGGTAGGGGTTACCGGCCCCACGGCACCAGGGTACCGTCCCCACGGTACGGGGGTACCGTCCGTGTCAGCTGGGGTTCCCTCCGGTAGCCCGTCACGGTAGCCTCCGACGGTAGGGTCTACCGTCAAACGGCACCTAGGTCCCGTCCTAAGTCGGTACCGCCAGAGAAGAACGAAACCGGGGAAGCTGGCGGTAGCCAGGTACCGTGTCAACGGTACCCCCCTACCGTCTGTCGCGGCGAACATTAGACTCGCACCAGCTCCATTTCCGTCCCTTTGGCAGCACCCACACTAGTGATAACAAGCATAACAGATCATAAAACATTAACCTAGCATTTTATAACCTATCCTCAATCATTCCAACACAACTCATGCTTTTTAAATCATACACAACATGCACAGAACATTATTAACGTATAGTCCACATAAATCAACCGTAATGATTCTACGAACGTAAGATTCAAACCTACGAATATAATCCATACGTTAGATGACCACGTTCTCACCTTGAATTTGACGATTGAAGGTTACCGGGGTAGTGTTCGCGGCGTGGAGACGAACGGCGGCTACTTCTTCCTTCTTCTTCTTCTTTTTCTTCCTCTGCTGCGTTCGTCTTTCTGCTGTGTTCCGTTCGGCGAGAGTGGGACGAGAGAGAGAGAGACGTGAGAGAGTGGGGAGAAGTTACGTAACAATAGTATGGGGCGTGAGGGTTTTAGTCGTGCAAGGGGTATATTTATACTTTTAGGGTTTTGGGCTCCGTATTAACTAAACGTACCTGGCCCAAATGCACTTTCCGGCCCCACTAACTCCAAATTTGAATCCGATTTCACCGGTAGATTCGACCCGTCGAACCCTACACAACGGTATAATTTTTAATATTCAACGAAAGGTATATATAATTTTCCACCGGGTCCGTCTCAGTAATTAATTAATTATTTCCAATTAATTAATTCTGATAGGCCGGGTTTCGGGGCGTTACATTTCTCTCCCCCTTACAAGAATTTCATCCTCGAAATTACCTGAGTCATTGGTCACTAAAGAGTTGAGGATACTGAGTTCTCATGGACTCCTCGGTCTCCTAGGTTGCTTCTTCCACTGCGTGGTTTCGCCAAAGCACCTTGACCAAGGGAACTGTCTTGTTCCTCAGTTCCTTTACTTCGCGTGCCAAGATCTGTACGGGTTCTTCCTCATAGGTAAGACTCTCATCGAGGGTGACTGCTCCCTCAGGTAGGATGTGTGACGAATCAGATCGATATCTCCTCAGCATAGACACATGGAATACATCGTGAATCTTCTGTAGTTCTGGGGGCAACTCCAAGCGATATGCCACTGGTCCTACGCGTTCAATGATCCGGTACGGTCCAATGAACCTAGGACTCAGCTTTCCTTTCTTGCCAAATCTTAACACTTTCTTCCACGGAGAAACCTTGAGAAACACCCAATCATCCACGTTGTACTCAATCTCCTTACGTTTGAGATCGGCGTAGGACTTCTGACGATCCGAAGCAACTCGCAATCTTTCTCGTATTATGCGGACCTTCTCTTCTGCCTCACGAACCAGGTCGGGTCCTTCTAGCTTGGTTTCACTCAGCTCGGACCAACAGACTGGAGTCCTACAACGTCGGCCATGCAGTGCCTCGTATGGGGCCATCTGTATACTAGCCTGGTAACTGTTGTTGTAGGCAAACTCCATCAACGGCACGTATTGTTCCCAACCATCACCGAAATCGATGACACAAGCTCTCATCATGTCTTCCAAAATCTGAATCGTTCTCTCCGACTGGCCATCTGTTTGAGGGTGAAATGCTGTGCTGAAATTGAGCTTAGTGCTAAGAGCCTTCTGAAGACTCTTCCAGAACTGTGATGTGAATCGCGGGTCGCGATATGTGATGATTGATACTGGCACTCCATGTAGTCTCACAACTTCCCGAACATAAAGCTCAGCTAACTTCTGCAAGGTAAAGTCTCGTCTAATTGGGAGGAAGTGAGCTGATTTAGTCAGTCGGTCCACTATGACCCACACTGCATCATTCTTCTTACTTGACAGGGTAACCCTATCACGAAGTCCATCGTGATCCTTTCCCACTTCCACTCAGGGATGACTGGTGGGTGTAGCAACCCACTCGGCACTTGGTGCTCTGCCTTGACCTGCTGACAGGTCAGGCACTTAGCCGTAAATTCTGAAATTTCTCGTTTCATCGTCGGCTACCAATACGTCTTCTTGAGGTACTAGTACATTTTGTTGCTGCCAGGGTGCATGGTGTACACGGTTTCATGAGCTTCCCGTAGCAGCCGTTCTCTCACTTCGCCGTTCGGTACCACCAAGTGGTCCCTAAAGAGCAGCCCTCCTTTGTCATCAATGGTGAAGTCTTGTCTCTCCCCCTTGGAGACAAGCTCTTGAGTCTTCGCACAAAAGTCATCCGTAGTCTGGGCCGTACGGATCTCACCTTCCAATGTTGGCTGGAGTCGTAGTTCAGCCATAGTCTTTCGACTCAAGGCATCAGCCACGACATTGGCCTTGCCAGGGTTATAGTCGATATAGCAGTCGTAGTCTTTGATCAATTCCAACCATCTCCGTTGCCTCAGGTTCAGCTCCTTCTGTGTTAGCAAGTACTTCAAACTCTTGTGATCTGTGTGGATGTAGGTAGTCTCACCAATTAGATAGTGCCGCCAAATCTTTAATGCGAATACCACAGCTGCTAACTCCAAGTCATGCGTCGGATAATTACCCTCGTGAGGTTTCAACTGTCGAGAGGCGTAGGCCACAACCTTACCCTCCTGCATAAGAACACATCTAAGACCACTGTGCGATGCATCACTGAACACCGTGTAATCCTTGCCAGGCACCGGTTGCACTAGCATTGGTGCCTCTGTCAGGCACTTCTTGAGTTTCTCAAAACTCTGTTGACACGCGTCTGTCCACGCAAATTTCACCTCCTTCTTCAGTAGCTTGTTGAGCGGTGACGCTATGGACGAGAAGCCCTCCACAAAGCGCCGGTAGTAACCAGCTAAGCCGAGGAAGCTTCTCACCTGTCGCGCATTCCTCGGAGTCTTCCACTCCGTTATCGCTGATATTTTGCTAGGGTCCACCTTGATGCCCTCGTGGGAGATCACATGCCCAAAGAACGTGACCTCATCGAGCCAAAACTCACACTTTGACAGCTTGGCATACAGCTTGTGCTCTCTTAGCACACCAAGTACTGTCTGCAAGTGTTTCGCATGCTCTTCTGGTGTCCTAGAATACACCAAGATGTCGTCGATGAACACCACTACGAACTGGTCTAGGTAGGGACGGAAGACGCTATTCATCAGATCCATGAAGATTGCCGGGGCATTCGTCAGCCCGAACGGCATCACCGTGAACTCATAATGCCCATAGCGCGTTCGAAAGGCCGTCTTCGGTATGTCTTCCTTCTTCACGGGGATCTGATGATACCCTGACCGAAGGTCTATCTTCGAGAACATTGTAGCTCCTCTGAGCTGATCAAACAAATCGTCAATCCGCGGTAATGGGTAGCGGTTTTTGACTGTAGCCTTGTTCAACTGTCTGTAGTCAATACACAACCTCATGGACCCATCTTTCTTCTTGACAAAGAGAACTGGCGCTCCCCATGGCGACGCGCTCGGCCTGATGAATCCCTTGTCTAGTAATTCTTGCAGCTGAGCCTTCAGCTCCTTCATCTCAGCCGGTGCCATGCGATACGGTGTAGCAGAGATTGGCTCCGTTCCAGGAACCAGATCAATCGAGAACTCCATTTCCTTTGGCGTTGGCAGGCCTAGGAGGTCGTCGGGAAACACATCGGGGAAATCACACACTGTAGGGATATCCTTTTGCTCGGGGGTCTCCTTCCTGGTGTCCCGAACATGGCACAAGAATGCCTCACATTTCTTCCGAATCAACCGCTTTGCTTGCATATAAGACATAAATTCTGGAGGCTTCGGGAACAACTCCCCCTTGACCTCAACCACGTCACCATCGTCAGTCTTCAGTCGTACGGTGCGCAAACCACAGTCAATTATCACTTGACGCTCGGTCAACCAATCCATACCAAGGATAATATCAAATTCCTTGTATTGTAACTCGATCAGATTTTCGAACAACCGGTGTCCGTGGGCCGTCAACGGACAGTTGCGGTACAGATGATGAAGTCGCATGCTATGCCCTAACGGGTTAGATACTACCATGGGGTATTCCAGATCACCCCTCTGGATATCAGATTTCCCAGGCATAGGAACACATATGTAAGACAACGTAGATCCTGGGTCAATTAATGTAAGCATAGGAGTGTCGAATAGTGAAAACATACCCAATATGACGTCGCAGTTCACTTCGGTACGCCCCTGCATGGCGTAAGTGCGTGCAGGCGCATGTCCCTGCTGGCGGTTCTGGTTCTGGTTCTATCCTCTCGGCGGGTTTGAACCCGCGGTAGACCTCTAGCTCTGTGCTGGCCTCTGCCCAGCCGTCTGTGTCTGTACCTCGGCTACGGGAAAGGCACGCCCGGGGTTAGTTGGGCAATCCTTGCGGAAGTGTCCTTCCTTTCCGCATCCCATGCATAAGCCCTATGCGAACCAGCATTCACCAGGGTGGTTTTTCCCACAGAGATTGCACACTGGATGCCTGGAAGGTTTGCTTCGGTTGCTCGCCGCCTGTGACTGAGCCGGCGCGGACTTGGTCTTCTTGATGTTCTGGGTACCCTTAGTACCGCCAAAGGATCTATTCCCGCTCAGTGCCGCGCTGGTAGTGGGTCGTTGGCAAGCAACTGTCCCTCCAGCACCCAAGCTTGCCTTCAAATCATCCACCGCTTTCTCCGCCTTAGCCATCAGGTCATAAGCCACGGAAAAGTTGGTGGTGACCACAGTAGAAACGTAAGGTCGCACATCGGGGCGCAATCTTTTCCTAAACTCTTCAATTCTGTCAGCAGGTGTTGACACCAACGTGGGTGCAAACTGAGCCAAATGGTCAAACTTCTGTCGTAGCTCGGCAAGGGTCATGTCCCCCTGTTCCAGCTCCATGAACTCTGACCGCTTCTCCTCTCGGAAACGAGCTGGGATATATTCCTTCTTGAAAGCCTAGTCGAAATATGCCCATGTCCAGGGCTTCGGCGTCTGCGGCCCGCTGTCAACGCGCTTCCACCACTCGTATGCTCCTTTGCGGAGTAGCTGAGATGCCAACTTTGGATGATCCACAACCGGTACATCCAGGTCATTGAGCACCCTAGCCACCTGCTCAATCCAATCAAGAGCCACTTGAGGTTCGGCCACTCTATCCCCAAGGAACTCCTCCGCTCCGTTGTCCTTCAGCGTCTTGAAGGTGATATGTCGCCGCGGTGGCTGAGGCTGCTGGAACATCGGCGCGTTGGCCATCTGCTGAAGGAACTGTGTCATGAAAGCGGGCATGACATTCTCAGGCGGATTCCCGAAATTTTGATTTTCCCCCGCGTTCAGTGGCACATTGGGCTGCCCAGCATTCTACTGAGGCACAAAGCTGGATGCCTCTGTCTCGGCATCGTTGTGATCATCACCCACTTGCTGGGTGTTGTCATGGGCGTGAGTCGATGCGTTACTCATTCTAAATCTACACATAAATCCCTAGTAAGTTATTAACACATAACAAACAAAGGTATAAACTTATTACCTTCCCGAGGTTGATGAGTCGCAAGAGATGTGGTGCAGCTTTTGGAAACCATTTATTTATGATCCGAAAATCGGTTTTAAAACCATATGCTCTGATACCAAAATGTAACACCCCAACCCGCATAACCCGAATACAAGGACCCACGGGTCGGGTTGTTACCAATTTGGTATTCAAATGCAATAATTTTTCCAATCCATTTAAAACATTTAAATCAAATAGTATTTAATTATCCATCAGAGTAAATCCAAACGGTTGCGGAAGCTAAATTCATAATCCAAAACACAACTTGGGAATCATGCCCGAAATAGTAATAAGTTAATTTAAGTAATAAATAAGAGTTCAAAATCGTCGAACACCGCCACGCACAGCTCAGCCTCTTCATCGCCCTCCGGGATTGGTTCCAAGCTCATCATTTCTTGGATTACCAACATGTAGCAAACAGGAAAAAGGGCTACACGCTCAGCATTGAAGCTAAGTGAGATATATATCTAACATACAGCTATACCCATAGGTGATCCCACTAGCCCGTATCATCATACGATATCATGCACACAAAATGCTCATCATACTTACTCAACATACAGCATATAGCAGTTGTAATAAACATCAACATTAAAGAATTACAAATCACAAGGATACAATGTAACTTCTCCATTTTCCTCTGCCCTATGTTCTTTCGGTACTCGGCTCTTAACCTAGACTAGGTAAAAGCTCAACTGAATTCGACTTGCCTATGGAGTCATGACCTTCCCCTACAAAACGAAGGTCAAGCTCAAACCAACTCGGGAGTTTCTCGTTGGGTGGTTGAGATCCCTGTCCCCTTCGGAACGACAGTTTTTAGATCCCCGTGTACAAGTTTTTACCCGGACAGCCATTGAACCCAGCAGGACGTACCACATGACTCTAACTCACAAACTTATGACATGCCTTGCCATTATTTTTCCTTCTGGTTAGATCCTAGGTTTGTTCTAGGTATTTCATGCCTTAACCGTCATTAGTTTACAGCATACATGTTCATACATCTTACACATATTTAATCACATCCAATACACTCAATTAGCAGCCTAACACTGGGTATCGCTACCCTCGTTTACCGTCATGCAACACACAAGGTCTCGGAATCAATCCTCGACGCAAACAACAAAACGCAGACCGGTTCAGGTACCTCACGGTACCCCTTGGCGGTAGGGGTTACCGGCCCCACGGCACCAGGGTACCGTCCCCACGGTACGGGGGTACCGTCCGTGTCAGCTGGGGTTCCCTCCGGTAGCCCGTCACGGTAGCCTCCGGCAGTAGGGTCTACCGTCAAACGGCACCTGGGTCCCGTCCTAAGTCGGTACCGCCAGAGAAGAACAAAACCGGGGAAGCTGGCGGTAGCCAGGTACCGTGTCAACGGTACCCCCCTACCGTCTGTCGCGGCGAACACCAGACTTGCACCACCTCCATTTCCGTCCCTTTGGCAGCACCCACACTAGTGATAACAAGCATAACAGATCATAAAACATTAACCTAGCATTTTATAACCTATCCTCAATCATTCCAACACAACTCATGCTTTTCAAATCATAAACAACATGCACAGAACATAATTAAATTATAGTCCACATAAATCAACCGTAACGATTCTACGAACGTAAGATTCAAACCTAGGAATATAATCCATACGTTAGATGACCACGTTCTCACCTTGAATTCGACGATTAAAGGTTACCAGGGTAGTTTTCGCGGCGTGGAGACGAACGGCGGCTACTTCTTCCTTCTTCTTCTTCTTTTTCTTCCTCTGCTGCGTTCGTCCTTCTGCTCTGTTCTGTTCAGCGAGAGTGGGACGAGAGAGAGAGATGTGAGAGAGTGGGGAGAAGTTACGTAACAATAGTATGGGGCGTGAGGGTTTTAGTCGTGTAAGGGGTATATTTATACTTTTAGGGTTTTGGGCTCCATATTAACTATACGTACCTGGCTCAAATGTACTTTCCGGCCCCACTAACTCCAAATTCGAATCCGATTTCACCGATAGATTCGATCCGTCGAACCCTACACAACGGTATAATTTTTAATATTCAACGAAAGGTATATATAATTTTCCACCGGGTCCGTCTTAGTAATTAATTAATTATTTCCAATTAATTAATTCTGATAGGCCGGGTTTCGGGGCGTTACAACTGTACACCCGGATATCGATCGTGTCTTCCGTCTTACCAGGGCTTTCCGCTTGGTGGGATGGGAGAGAATGCTCACTATTTCCGGCGAATACTTTCCGGACCTTGATCGGGAGTTCTACGCCAACATCCTCAACAAAGAAGAGAAATCTGGAATGGTGAAGAGCTCGGTTCGCGGCACCCCCATCACTCTCACACTCAACTATCTACGGGAATTTTTGAACCTCAGAGATCCGCGTGCACCATTCACCTACACAATCAATCGCAACGGTTTCGTCGCCGATGATCACAACTACAACATTGAGGCGACGAAAACTAAATTTGGATGCACCGACATGCGTGTTCGTGAATTGGGACTAAGGTGGATCTGGGCCCGTTTGATCATCTACCTCTTTGGGTTCAACATTGAACCTCGGGCGAGTGGTCTTAACGAAATCCGCATTAGCGATCTTTACCATGCCGACAAGATGATTTTTGGTCTCGGACGCCCAGAGCGCATTGCACTTGCCCTAGTCATCCTACGATGCATTCATGATGTTTTCGCCTCCAATTGCCCGGATAAAAACTTTGTCTTCCCGGTGCTCCTATCATAGATTTTCGTAGACCATGGGGTTGACACTAGTGATACCGAGCGGAAATTGACAAAATAAGGCGATGTCTTGGACCATCAAAAAATGCAAACGCTCCGGTACCACTATACGGGAAGCACTTGGACTGTCAACCCCGCTTTCCATCGCACACTGGAACCCAACGAAGAGATCATCATTTTCCCACCCGATTGCGAGCAAGGAGGGCACACAGCTGCTCACCAGAATGAGGTTTTTCCCAATGATGATGATAATGGCGATGACAACGAGGATGATGAGGTTCCCCTGGAAGTCCGTCGTCCAAGGTCCCGACATACAATCCAACAATCAATACATCAATTGAACATAGCGGTCGACGGCTTGAGAGAGCGCATGGGTAACGTTGAAGTGAACATGAATGAAATGCTCTACTATTTACGCTGTTGGGGTGACTCCCAAAACATTCCGCATATGCCTGGACGACGACACGACACAAATGACGGAGAAAATGGAAATCCTTGAAGCTACTCTTGTCTCACATTAACTTATTTACAGTTATTGTCTGAAGTTTTTCTTTGTGATGTTTTTTTAAATTGCAGACGCTTTCGGACAACGCATGCCAAGGGAAGTTGGAACCACTTTTTCTCTATTACCCTTTTGCCACCCATTGAGGACAATGTGTCTTAAGTGTGGGGGGGGGGGGAATTTCCTTACTTTTGGTGTTTCTTTGCTTGGCCTAAATTCTTTTTCAAAATTTTTTTTCACACTTATTTTTGACTTTATCTCATAAAAATTCTAAATTCTTTTAGGAATAATTTTTTTGGATAATTTAATTTTTGGAATTCTTCAAAAAAATTTACCCCCAAAAGTAATTATGAAATTGCTTGAGGACAAGCAAACCTTAAGTGTGGGGGGATTTGATCAATGCTTAATTTTGCTTACCTTTTAATCACAAATCTATAACGTTTCAGAGTACCAAGAATTGTATCTACCTAATAAACGTTATTTTGTGAATAGGGTGGCAAAATGAAGAAACATTTGGAAAGAACACAAATTTCAAGGAAATGCGAAAGGATTCGATGTGCTAATCAATCGTCAAAACCTTTACTTTGGAATGTCGAATGGAAAGCGGGCGATTTAGGAAACAAATTGTACCAAAATTCTTGAAGAGCTCTAATCTAGCAAAGGGCAAGTTTGACCTGGGCCAATTTAGCAGTCTAAAGGCGCAAGAAGGCTACTGAGCTCTAATCCGGCGAAGGGCAAGGTTGACCTGCGACCGGTTACGCATTATCCTGCAGATAATTAAAATCGTCCAGCCACGTTCCTTTGCCAAAACAACACCCGACATTTCCGTTGGAGCGGAAAATCGACGAGAGAAACGCCCCAAATCTTCCCAACGTTCATCTAAGGTGAAAGACCATAAATTGGAGATTAATTCCTTGCTTTTGGGACATCCATTATCACCCCCAACTATCCTGTTTTCAAAGTTCTCCACTCCTTGTGTTCTTGTTCAAGCTTAGAAGAGAGGGCTAGGGTTCCACATTCGACCTCAAATTTCGGCTTGCTCCGTGTAATCTCTTCTCCTAATTTCTTTGTAATGTATTCCATTGTGTTGTATTTGCTTTTTTCCATAATGTTTTGTGGCTAAATCCCTCCACCGAGGTTAGGGACGATGCCATTGTAATTTCTATTGAAACTTGGTTCTTCATTCAACATCATTGCAATTTATTCTTCTTGTTATCTTTGTGCTTTGATTATGGTGGCCACATATGATTAGCGTTATTTTTCGGATTTTGTGATGGAACTAGCGTTGAAGCATAACCCGTGCTCTAGAAGAATAGACGTTTAGCCGAGTTGGGATATAGATATACTCAACTCCTAGACGGTGTCACCCTTTTTTAAGTTTTGAGCATTAATGGGGTTGGCTCTTGATGTATGCAAGACGTTACGGTACTTGCACGAAGATGCCAATTACCCTTTTGTTTCCTTAATCGGAACAAGAGGTACCTTTATAACTCCGCACTTGCAATAGTTGAATTAAGTTTCTTAGTTTTAGTAGATATTATAATTGGCTATTCCCGAACTCCTCGGTACCTCATCTCTTGCTCTAATTTCCTGCGTTTTCACACACCTCTTTAAATCACAATTTAATTACCAAGTCCCTATGGAAATCGACCCG